TACGCCATGCCCATATGGCTTCACGTCTGACAACAATGATTGTCAGACATGTGAACGTTTACCAGGAGAAATATTGTTTTACGTCATGCCAATATGGCTCTAAGTTAAACGACACGGATTGCCAGACATGTGAATGTTTACTAGGTAAGAAATAGTTTTACGTCATGCTCGTACGGCTTCTTGTTTGACGACAAGGATTGTCAGACATGTGAATGTTTACAAGGTAAGATATTGTTTTACGTCATGCCCATATGGCTTTAAGTTAAACGACAAGGATTGCCAGACATATGAATGTTTACTAGGTTAGATATTGGTTTACGCCATGGACATATGGATTTAAGTTTGACGACAATGATTGTCTGACATGCGAATGCTTATAATGTTAGACAATGTAATGTTTTTGAAGAGCAATTTCGTTTTTTTAAATATTTTTTAACAGGTTTAAAGTACCATATTCGTCGGAAAATGACTGTTCCAAGGTAGGAATTATGAATTGTTTTTCACTCGTTTCATTGCTTGATATAACGTTTGATTTTGTCAGTTTATGTGGACTTTCCCTTTTCATGATTTACTATAAAGTTCGGTATTTTGTGATACTTTTTTTACATTTTTTGTTGATAAATGCAATATGATACATGGAAATTTGTCCAGTGAATCGGTCTTCATTGTTTTTTCAGCATGTCCAAAAGCAATATGTACAAAACCATGTGAATATGGCTTCAAATATGATTCAATAGGTTGTCAGACATGCGATTGTAGAAGTAGTAAGTATAACTTTTGTTTATTGTTGTTTTTTTTTTCTACACAACTTATTTCTCAATGTTTCCTATCTATTTAATTCAGCTTTAGTCATTGTTGAAGGCTGCACGGTTACTTATAATTTCTGTGTCAGCTGGGCCCTCATGAAGAGTTGTCTCATTGGCAATATGAATCATAACACATATTCTTTTTTATATTAGTTTTGATGTTTGTAATCTGTTGTGATGTGACAAACAATTTTAAGGAATAATTCGTTCATCAACCATGTGTTTCAATGCTATGACCAAACGTTTTTATAGCAGCATACCACACCTTCTTTTTTTTGTACCTCGGGATTCATTGATTGACAATTGTTTCTCAGATATTTTTTTCAAAATATATTAGTTTAATGATAAAACTACCGGTTCAAAACTTTCGAAATTATTCAATCGAAGATATTCTAAGTAGAACATTTAATGTTGTTCGCTCGTCTATGCATTTACATCAATGTAGGTTGTTAATAATATTTAGCAAAGTTGTTGTGCATAATATCCGGATTTGATATTTGCATTGTGTTTGTGATCTTCTTTAAATTGATTTTGGAACACAATGAATATTCTCTTTTCACCTCTAAATGTATGACTAAGACATCTTTGAAATAGTGCCTATTTCTGTTATAATTACTTATGACTGTTACCTTATAATTTATTTTATTGAAGAAAATAGTATTGTCATGTTATGGCCTTGATCTGTGTTGGAACTTGCTGACTGTTACAAAAGAAATATGTATAGTTAATTTTTCAAATAGGTTTTAACATGAATATGTTACACTAAGAAATTAAAAAAAATGTAGATAGGGATGTCACTGGATAATTCTTTTGTTCGTTTTTTTTTTTTTTTTTTTGTTTGCTTTCGTTTGTTGTTATTTTTCTCCTTTTTTTTTCTTTTTTTTATTTACAATTCCTGTACTCCTATCTGTTTAAAATTATTAATATTTATATATTTATTATTTATTTTACATTTTTTGAACTTTTTTCTTTGATCTATTCTATAGAAAATGTCAAATATTTCCAACTATTTATAACAATGACATTATATTGTATGTGTGTCATGTATATGTTTTAATTGTTGGACATAAAACAATCAAAATTAAAAAAAAAAATCTTTGAAATAGTGCACTTTTGAATTATTCCTGTAATGTTTTCATTGCAAATTGGCGAATTGTCTTCGTTGTTTGTCGAAGTTTAATTTTGGTCGCTTTTAAGTTGATGAGTTCTTTTATCTCTTTGGAACATTCCGCCTATTTTTTTTGTTTTTTATCTAGGTGAAAATTTCAAAAGAGACAACTAGGTATAAAGGTATGATCAAAAGTAAAATAACAAAAATACCAATCTCCAAGGGAAATTGAAAACTGAATGTCTCTTATCAAATGACAAAATCAAAATCTTTAACACTTCAGATGAAAGGAAAACAAATGCCATACTCCAGACTTGGTACAGGCATTTCTGGTATATAAAATAAGGGTGTCTTAGAATTGGATCTGCTTTGCGAAAAAATGTTAAGAATGTAATATGAGCGTTTTGTCTACATATCACTAATAAGCAGCGCTTGAATGAAAACATTTTTTGTGGCAAACTGGAATACGTGATGTAGTGTATTGTTTGTTTTTATTTGTATGTCCGTTTTTTTCGAAAGAGATGGGTGTTTCTTTTGATTGTTATACTTTTCGTTTTTTATGATTTCTTTTATAATGTATAAATGTTTAATTCAAACGATAATAATGTTTTTACTGTAAAGAAAAAAAGGAAACAAAAGATAATACTTCAATAAAGCTTTTAATATAACAAAATAGAGTGAAGCGGAACATTAAAATTTGAATCATAAACTGAGTGATTTATATCGTACATTTAATTTTATTCAAACGATAATAATGTTTTTTACTGTAAAGAAAAAAGGAAACAAAAGATAATACTTCAATATAGCTTTAAATATATCAAAAACATATAATGAAGAGGAACATGAAAATTTGAATCATAAACTGAGTGAATTATATTGTACATTTAATAAATTGAAACAATTGAAAGTAGACGGCAATCTTCACAATTAATCTTAGTTTCGGACTGCAAATATTAAAGTTTCTTAAACTTATATTTTATCATAGACCTTTTAGAATTTGTCAAATTCAATCTACTTAAACTTCGTTGAAGTGATTTTAAACGAATGATGTTTCACAAAAATATCTTTTTAAACGTTAAGATGAAGTCATAATACTTTCATTATTAAGGGTGTTCGATTGCATTAAATTTAGCGCAGAATGTAAATTCAACATATGGTATTTCATACTAACCACAATTTGGTGTTGTAAAATTGTGGAACTGTTTACATAAATTTATTTGATCGATTCCAAATTTTTAATCACATTCTTCTTGTCGAGTAACGATGGAGTAATAAATCTCCGTGAAGTTTGTTGATGGGTTAACGTAAAGTGATGAATAGAAATAACAGTCGTCCTCTTTTGTTCTAGATTGGCAAAACTCCGATTGAAACTGGTCACCGAATTAGTATTTGCATGAAAAACTCGACATAAGTCACATGCAGAGCAGGAACTTTATCCCCCACCCCCGAGTAGACCTTCGCTATTCTTTTTTCTTTTCGTCGTTTTTCCATTTTTGCCATAGCGTTATCAGTTCTTCCTAGAATGATGAGTAATTTTCCCTGGTAATTGCCACCTCATTTTTCAAAAATAAAAAATTCGTGAAATTTGTTAAGTCCTCAACAACACAAAAAAAAATATGTAAACACCCTAATTTTCGGTCATCGATTTTGATTAATTGATTGATTGTCTGGCGTGACAAGTATGTGTAGTTAATCAATTAAAATTTGTTTAGGAAAAGCATGTGTGTCATGTACCAGGTACAAATAAGTATTTATAAAAATAAGAAAATAGAGGTTTACATATCTCTATCGAAATAACCCCAAATAGATATAGGAAAATGTGGTATGAGTGCCAATGAGACAACTCTCCATCCAAGTTACAATTTATAAAAGTAAACCATTATAGGTCAAGGTACGGCCATCAATACGGAGCATTGGCTCACACCGAACAGCAAGCCAAAACATCTTTTTGCACACACCCAAATTTTAACCTTTGTTTCATTATAAAATGTAATAAAATGGTCTTTCCGACGTTTAATTATAATGACTTCGAGTCAACATAACCCTTGTATTGCGTTTATTTCAGTAATGAAAACAATTCAAAGTATGACAGCTTTTGTCAGATGGAATGAACCCTTTTTTTTAATGAACGATGTTTACAAGACGTAGGAATTGAGCCACTAGTCTACTAGTCTGATGTTATACTTATGCTATGATTTAAACGATAGATTTGATTTTTCTTATAGTATCTTGTCCTGCAAGGCTATGCATATATGCGTGTCCGAAAGGATTTAAACTTGGCGAAGATAGCTGTCAGACATGTGATTGCAGAAAGGGTATGTAATTAACATGACATATTAACATAATATACAAGTATTTCCATTTAGTGCAGTGACAAGTTAATAGTGTCTAGTTGTCAACTTTATTTATTTATTTGAAATAATATTGCTGTTAATTTAATAAAATCGTATTCAGTTTCGTCCATTCGTAGATTTTTCGCTTCAATTTTCATATGTACCGAACCCATTTTTATCAAATACCATTATATATTATTTCGGAATATAAGCCAAGGAAGAATTTATTTCATAGTAACCTATTAAAGTATGTTTAATGTAATCTCTCAGTTGGATATCTTTTATCTTCGTCGCTTTGGTTAAGAATTTAAATGCCCAATTAAAACTTTATCATAATGTCAATGGTTCCGCTCAAAAGTTATTTAAGTCGTACACTATCGGCAAAAAAAAAAAAAAAAAAAAAATAGGCACTCAGTTAGACTTTTTGTCGGTTTTCTGTTATGTTTCAACAATATTTGCCTTACTTCGAAGTAAATGATTAATTCATGGATTGATTGTTGCAATTATTAAATGTAAATTCAAGACGAGACCAAATTTACATTTATACAATAAAGAAGAACGAACGCGATGAAAGGCGGGAATTTGCAAAAAGTTTAGCTGAATTTTTATATTGTTATTAATTCTTTTTGATAAACGATTACACTGAACTACTTTATCAAGTATGACTTTTCAGATAATTATATCTTTGTTTGACCAAATGTATCTGATTGACAACATTAAAAAAGATCTTTATGTTCTTGACATTTCAGGAATACCTTGTCCTCCTGAGCCTAGTTGTCCTCCACCAAATTCACCGCATCCATTTTGTCCTGGACCGTGTATATACCAAAATAGAATTTTAGATGGCATAACGTGTAGAGTCAACTGTTTTCGTGGACTTCAACCACCCCCTGGTAGACCAGGCGATCCGTGTCCACCAACGGGGGTATGAAAATTAGAGAGCAACCATTGAACTCCAAAAAAAGGGGGGGGGGGGGTTATGGTTTTTTTGTCTGATTCAGAATTTTTGTTTTAGTTTTTAGACGCTATCTTGGGAAAAAATTGGATTCAGAATATTTTTTTTTGTCATCTGCTTGTCCTAAATATTGTTTGTCATCAAATTGGGGATCAGGATATTTTATAAGGAAAAAATTACCCCCCCCCCCTATTTTGAAGTTAAATTGTTTTTCCCTTAATAGATACATGTTACAGCAATGGTAAATAAATTAAAATGGACCTAAAAAGGGCATGATAAATACATCATCTGAGACTTTGTAATCTTTAGTTAACAAAATTCGGAGCTAATAACACTTCCAGGGCACCTGTGGGGTCGTGTTACCCAGTCGTTTGTTTAACATGTTCGGTTTTGTGTACTTTAGCTTGTCCTTTCGCCGTTTTTCTTCTTATATTTTTTTTTGCCATTTCAGTGTCAATAAGTTTTCGAATTTTGTGTGTATCGCTTCGGTATCTTTCGCTGTTATGTTGTGATTGTCTTTTGTTCTTCATGGTTAGTCTAGTATAGTTATATTGTATCTCCAACTACTGACCATATGGAATACTGCAAATGTTTTGTCCGTCAGCACGTACGTTTTGTATTAGCTTGTCGTAATGTTCTATTGTATTGCTTATTTGTGTGTTATTCTGTCCTGTATGTTCTTCCATTTATGTGTATTGTAGTCCTTCGTGTAATGTTGTCATTTTAGTGTTATATTTAACATTGCCATTAAAGTGGGAGGTTTGGCTAGCCTCAAAACCAGGTTCAACCCACCATTTTTTTCTTAACATGTCCTGTACCAAGTCAGGAAAATGGCTGTTGTTATCTTATAGTTCGTTTCTGTGTGTGTGTTGCATTTTAGTGTTTCTGTTGTGTCTTTGTTCTCCTCTTATACTAGTATCGATGTGTTTCCCTCAGTTTTAGTTTGTAACCCGAATTTGTTTTTTCTCATTCGATTTATGAATTTCGAACAGCGGTATACTACTGTTGCCTTTATTTGTGTCATTATATGAGAAAGAAGATGTGGTATGATTGCCAATGAGGCAACTCTCCACAAGACACCAAATGGACCAAAATTCCTTATACTCAGTTCCTCTCTATACATGCAATTAAGGAATCTTTTATTGATTTGATGCAAATTTTATTTGAAGATTTTTTATTTTTACTTTATTTTTTATGCATACAAAACTAATGTTTTAGTCTCTCATATCATAAAAAGGTTAACAGAATATTTCAATTATAATCCAAAGGATTCACTAGCATGTAGAAATATGGTAATTCATTGGTCCTCCTTCTATCGACAGTAAACATCTTCCTTAAGTGGGACGTCTGTTTTGCTTTGCTGGGTGTGTAAACTCAAAGTCAAGTCTGTTTAGAATGGGGACTTTAAATGATGCCACGTGTAATTGCGTTAAGAACCTTTACAACAAATTTGTATTATAAGGTATAGTTTTTGTCAATATTAAAAAAAACAGTCATTCCAGATTTCCACCAACTGCCCGTGTCGTTTATATTGTTTATATGTTCTCGCCCTGATCATGCATACACACTTGTCACTAAACGTGTTAAGCAAACAACAATACATCAACCAACAAAAATAAACCAAATGTTCTTTCAATCAAAATTTCATACAGCACTCCGGGATAAGACTTATGATATAGAAGTCATAAATAGACTGAAAAATCATTTACCCTATGTAACTTTTAATTGCAAAATAATCTTGTAGTGTCCAGGCAAACCAACTGGAACAGCAGTTCAACAAGATTTCCCCCGAAATCCTCCAGGAACACCCCCGGGAAGTAAGTTTATATAGCAGCATTTACTTCGGTAAACTGTGTATTATTTACACAAATACAGGGTCAAATCGTGTCAAAAATGTAATGATATTGCTAACGATAATATTGAAAGCCATCTTCTAGTGAAAGCATAACTTATATCTATTTTTCAACTAAAGAGCTAAGTATGAATGTATTCAAAAATCCCATTTAGAAAGAAAAAAAAACATATATTGTACTTATACTATGTACATGTATGTACAAGGTCGTGTTTTTGAGGCAATGTTTAAGATTGAAATGAACGGTTTTATACTTAAGTCTGTAAAAACAACCTTTATGAATTATATTTGTCTTTAAGTTAGTTTGGTTAAGTAATAGTTTAGCGTTCACAAGCATTATATATGTATGTCAATCTAAAACAATAAGGATCGTGTTATTCAACACAACACTGCAATGCTGAAATTCCAACTAATTCAATGAACCAGAATTGTTTTTTTATTTATCAATATAATTTTCCGTTCCAGATTGTCCAGTAGGAAATCCATTACCAGGATTTAACTGTGGACTTGTACCAAACTCCGACAAATGTCCATCAGGATCTTTCTGTAACGTCGACCCAATGGATAGATTTGGTGTATGCTGCCTGAGTAGGTGACGTTTTCCTTGAATGCAATGGAAATAATATAGCATTCGAATTTACAAATAGATATTAAATAACACTTCAATAGAAAAAACATATATCACCAAAATCAGGGAATCTATCGTGTGTATTCTACAGAAAATAAGGTGCTACTATATTGTGAATAAAGTTTATTCATAAATTAGGGGCATTCCGTTTTGAATTTTTCTCGGAGTTCAGTATTTTTGTTATTTTACTCTTTACCTATTTTTTTTTCTATAGAGCGTGTCTTACGAGCATTTTTTTTGATAAATTCAATTAATTCATATGTATCCTTCGTTTCTCTTTTATATCTGTATATGAATGGATATATTGTAAACAAAGTATGTTGAATAGATGTCCGTTCGTTTCTTTGTCTCTGTCTTCTGCTTCCTGACCATTTGGCGTAAAACAGATATCAGAATTGTGTTGCTTGATTTTGTGTTTGTTTTTGGAATTTGATGGTCGTTATGTATTGGTAATACTTTCTGTCCGGGAGTTTTTGTATTTTAAAACACTTGGTGTATTTTAAATTGTAATGTGGATAAACATAGCATTGGACCGTTTATAACAAAGTATTCCCTTTTTTAACTACGAATTCTATAAGTTGAATACGGTCCATCGGAACGTGGAATATTTTATCAGTTGAAACGATGTTTATTATCCAAAACATTCATACTACAAAGTGTGTTATATCAATATTAAATTATACCAAATGATGTGATCAACCTAAATACGTTCTTCGTTTTTGTTTGCCCGTATCGGCATAGTCCCATCACTGTAAGCTTTATTGGATTATTCTAATAGCAATGCTTTCAGCATTAATAACCAAGTGTGTTACCAATATGTAAACTTTAAAACAACATGTAACATATGTTACTAATGAGGTTCAGGAAAACGAGATTAATTCTTTATTATTTATTAAGATAAGGAGATGTGGTATTATTGCAAAAGAGACAACTATCCACTTTAGTTGGAATGAAGTGGATGTAAGCAATTATAAGCGATCTTACAGCCGTCAACAGTGAGAGAAACCCATAACATATGGTCGGTTATAAAAGGCTCCAATATGAAAAATATGAAACAATTCAATTCAGAAAAATAACGGCCTAATTTATAACAAAACAATTTACGAAAAACAAATATTACAAACATGAACTACTGAATTACAGGCTCCGGACTTGTAATTGGGATAGGGACAGAAACAATGTGGCGGGTTAAACATGTGTGTGAGGACTCAACCTGCCTCCTTATCTTACACGTAAAGTTTAATCAATAATGACGGAAACAAGTACACATTTTTTTCTCTGTAACGATCCGGTTTTCTTTTTTACAAAATCTGAAATCCTATTCTAACGCCATCCAAACAAATATACGAATATAATGTTATTGTCTTGCACAGAGACCTTATTACTTTATCACTGATTTAAAGATTCAGTTATGTGTATAAAGCATGCATCACCAACCATGCAAGTCTACATTCAGTTTAACATAATTATACTATGGTTCTTATTATTCATTGCCTGTTCACAAATAAAAGTATTGTTTGAAATACTAAGGACTTTATAATTCAAGAATATATTACCTTAACTGCATTTAAAAAAAAAAAAAACTTTCGGAATTTCTGACCTTCATTTGTTATTCGGGCATCACTGTGCAGTCTATTGTTGACGCGTCTCCTGTACACATATTGTACTCTGGTATATACATATGGTGAATGTATATAATTTAACAATTTTGAATTAGGTTTTAAAATATCTGATTGTGATTTTAAATTGGATAATGAGTTCGTTTTCTTTGTTCGGAGATATCAATGGTTTGTAATTATATCTAATTGAGGTCGTTTGGCATTGCATTTTCTACTCGACAACTTATATTGAAACTGGTTGTATCTCCGTATCTCACAGAGCCTGAGTTAGTCTGACTAATCAAATTTAAATGACAGCTACTGTTTCAAATTGATTATGATTTTATTTATTAATTAAAGTCATTCCTCTGTGTCGCACAGATATGCTGTGATCGCTTATTTGATGGACTACCTCGTGTACAAGTTTATCAGGTTTCTTATACCGTGTAAATCCGTGTTTTTTGGTGAATTGTTTTGAATCATTGAATTGATATGTATTCTTTTTCAGAAAGCCGTTGTCCAGTTGATTCAGGTTCTAATGCCAAATGTTATGGACATTACCACAGATACTGTAAGGATGATTCATCGTGCCCTAAAAGGACAAAGTGTTGTAAGCAGGGATGCTCCTACAAATGTGTAGATGCTGTTTAACTTTCATTGATTATATCTTTTAAAATTAAACAACGGTAATACACTGTAAAATGTATGTTTTATTATTTGTGCAGCTTTTATTGTTCAAAAAGTAACAAACAGCAGTTGATCCCATTTATAATGAAATTTGATGCGACTGTCATACAAGTGAGAGTTCTAGCGAGCTATGAAACCGGGTTCAATCCACCATTTTCTACATAATAAAAATGCCTGTTCCAAGTCAGGAATATGACAGTTGTTATCCATTCGTTTGATGTGTTTGACCTTTTGATTTTGCTATTTGATTAGGCACTTTCCGTTTTGAATTTTTCTCGGATTTCAGTATTTTTGTGGTTTTACTTTTTATTGATTTAATCTTTTGAAAATAAACAACTGTAATACACTGTGCAATGTATGTTTCCTTATTTGTGCAGCTTTTATTATTCAAAAAGTATCAAACAACTGTTGATCCCATTTACGGGCCATCCAAACATGCTTAAGATAAAAGTCACTCAGAAACTGTATAAACGGCTGTCATTTTGAAAAGTAATTAATCATGTTCGAAATCAGCCGTCTGCTGGACAAAACGAATGGCTCTCTCCTAGTTAGTCATGGAAACAATTAATGGCCAATACAATTTTCTATAGGTCTCAGTTTAATTCATCAATTCTGATTTTTGTAGATTAAATAAAGGATCTAAGGTTTCAAGCAATGGCTAATTCATTTTGGTCTAGTATATTATTGATCGTTTTGACTATTACAGTTTCTGTCTTAAAATCAATAGTTTATAATAACCAGGCACGAGTTGAAAAACTGCGTATATCGTTTGACAAGGAATATATGTTTTCAGGAAAATGTTTTCATTTAGTTTTTTTGTGTATGATGATGGAAGTATGCAGCAGCTTCGTTTTTACTATAATTTATTCCAATTCATACAAGTAAGAGGTTTAGTACTATAAAACCTGGTTCAATCCACAATTTTCTACATTTAAAAATGCAAGTACCAAGTCAGGAATATGACAGGTGTTGTCCATTCGTTTGATGTGTTTTATTTTTTGATTTTGCCATTTGATTAGGGTCTTTCCGTTTTGAAATTTCCTTGGAGTTCAGTATTTTTGTGATTTTACTTTTTATTCCAAAAGCAACTTATGAGCCAGCTTTTAATAAAACAAAATTGTTCAGCGGTTGTATAATTTTCGTAGTTCTTATGTTTTATTCCATATAGTGTGATTAGAAGACACTCCTTTACTTTTTTATTATTTAGGTTAAAGAAATTTGTCAAATTCTGAGACCAGGTTAAACTCAATTTAGATCAGGCTTGTGTGTTTGCTATAAGTTTAATTCGATAAGGTTAAAAATAAGTCAAGTATATGACAACTTGTTTTCTTTATTTTCAAGACAACACAATTTTCAATCCAGAATGTTTCTAAGGTGTAGTGACTTCAAACCTGTAAAATAATAAGTTTCGTTATCGTTTTCTATTGAGATAATACATTTTGAATTTATTGAAATTTGTATGAAAAAGTAATATTCTTTTTTATAAAAGAAAACTAAAGTATTTGAACAAATAAGTAACATAATTAATAATGTATAAAGCATAGCAAATTGCATAATCTCTGAAAGCATGTTGTAATGCAGAGTATCGGTTTATCGACTTTAAAAATCATATCCAAAATATGTTGGTGGCTAAATCATAACGACAGTCAGTTGATGTATAATAAAGGTCAAGTCGATGTTCAAATTGGTTATATTTGTAATAGTTTATATACTTTTAAGGCAAATGATAATTTCTGGGTGTGTGTATTCACTATTGCCACACGAAAACAATTGTTTCAAGAACGATTAATTGTTGATGTCTCGTTTTGCTGGGTTTTTTTTTTGTCTTGACTACTTTCGTTGATCTTTATTTTTACTCTACTTGTTTTTTGTCTAAGTTTTTAAAAGTTGGTTTTATCACAATCTAGTGGACGTAATTTTGGTTTGCAGAAGAAAATTGTTCGGTCAAAAACTGATTGTGATTCAGCAGAAAAAACCCGTGTTTACAGAGCACAATAGGCCGTTGCACAGTCCAATGGACTTTGGGTAATTGTATTGTTCGTACCCCACAATAAAACTAACGTTGATTGTTAATGACGTTTTTTACCAATCACGACGCATTTGTGCACATTTTGAAAATATTACCCATCATTCATTAGATTCTGAAACGACAGATTATCAAACAACTGTTTTGATTTTTCCTTAACACATGGACTTAAATCTCCTAAAATAATCACATTTTTTCAACAATATGTATATTGAAAGGGACACAAACAATTCGAAATTGCAAGCACAATATTTACCGCGGGAACGGATATGAACGGGATATCAATCAAATCAAATAATCAAAGCGTTTGAAGGACGTCATGTTAGAATATAAAATAATCAAATTAACCAATATATAATATATATATATATCATATATTTACAAGTCTAAATTGAAAACAACGTTCAAACCTATGATTGCGTTGGATACAAACCGCAATTTTTATACGTGTGCATGTGACAAATTTCGTTGTGGAAGGGTCTAAATACGGCACAAACAACATTTTCCAATTGACCATAAGAGTGAAAAAATATATTTTAACAAAACGCATTTGACTAACAGGTCGAACAACTGATGTTCTTTAACCCTGCTGACTGCCATTGACGATTGCCAAATAAATTGATTACAAGGTGTAACAAAATGGATCTCTATATTAATTTAATACCAAGTAGAAAACAATAAACTTGCGGCAAAGATGGTAAACCACAACATGAGGTGCTAAATTTTTTACACCATATCCGGATTTCGACAATTAATGTCTCTTCGGTTATGTTAGGGATCGAAAAGTATTTGGAAGGCCAATTAATTTACCCCAATTTAGGATAGACTATTGAATTTTAAAGAGTCAAAATAGGATGAACGAATTATATAAACCGGAGGGAAAATATAATACAAGCCCAAACGAAATAAATATAAACAAGTCTAAATTGAAAACAACGTTCAAACCTATGATTGATCACAAGGTGTAACAAAATGGATCTCTATATTTGTTTAATACCAAGTAGACAACAATAAACTTGCGGCAAAGATTGTAAACCACAACATGAGGTGCTAAATTTTTTTTTCATCATATCCGGATTTCGACAATCAATGTCTATATCATATATTTAGATATTTTGGACGAGGTGGAACGTTTGCAAATTTGAAGAAAAGTTTCAGTTATGTAAAACTCAATGAATGTAAACATATAATGTAAATTTCTCCTTATCAGACATGTTGGTGAGTGATGGACCTATACTCTCTTCTTCCTGAAATATTTTTTGCCTTTTCTGTTCTTCTTGAATGGGCAAAATTTTATTCATTTTCATTCCCCTTTTGAAGAGGTGATCATAATCTCTGTTTTCTAAAAATTAATACCATGTTCAATATTAAGATAATTATTACATAATCCTTTAATATAATTAGATATCATGTGTCAGTCTAACTCTATAGATAAACACATTTGTAATCTTTTTTTTTCTGTACGCTCTCGGTTTGTTTTCATTACAGTTTTTTTTTTGGTCATTAAGGAGACTTATTTTCCAGAAATCTGTATACCTTTCAGGTAATATGTTCTATAACCTAACATACATTACGCATACTTTGAACAATGATAGCTTTGTAAAACAGAGAATAAAATTAGGTTGTTAAAAAAAAATCAGTCTCAGTGTTGCAGAGATAAAGCTGGGCAATATTTTCTGTGATATTATTTTAGGGTTATGGTGATTACCTGAAACAGCGCCTTGAAAACCAGCATTATAATCCACAGCCACTTCGTTTCGGACATAATCCGAACGTACGTCATCGTATTCGTCATTTGGTCCCGGACCTCCAACTATGGCACCGTACAAGACGTGTGGATTCGAATACTTCATTTCATAAAAATCATGTGAACATGAGGCTGGAATTAGCGGACATGAGCTACAAAAAATGTTTTATTACGGTATGAGCTGTTACAATATCAAAACTTAATGATATATCGAGAAATGCAAAAGTGTGAAAATTGCTTAATTCATTAGTTACACGAATATTTTCTGAAATATTCATTTTGAACATGCGGTTGTTGCATAATACATGTAAGCATTTTAATTGGTACTGAAGTGTACCTTCCAGTTTACTTGTTCACATATCGTTGTCAATATAATGAAATTTGATGTGATTGTCATACAAGTGAAAGGTTTAACTAGCTATAAAACCAATGCCTGTACCAAGTCAGGAATATAACAGTTGTTATTCATTCATATGATATGTTTTAGCTTTCGTTTTTGCAATATGATTAGAGACTTTTTGTTTGGAAATTTTTTCTCCGGAGTTCAGTATTTTTGTGATTTTACTTTTATTCTAATCATGTTACACCATATTCGAAAATCTTCAAATGAATGTACTACTATTATCCTTTTAATTGTGAATAAATACTTCAATATTTGATTTGTTCAATAAGATGTTTTTTCGTCCGTGGTATTTAGATTTAGGTAGATAATGTCTTCTTCATAATAGGATTAAAAACGTGAAATTAATTGTGATGGTTATGTATGGCTCACTAATGGAACAGTGGGAGTTAGATAAAAAAAAAATCAGAACGATAACGTGTTCATACGATATGAATGATAATCCCTGTCTGTACTACAATTTGAGTCGGATTTTGAACTTGCTGGTTCACACTGTATGGAAAATCTGGTCACACTACCCGGACAAATTGTTCCCACTTTGTGCCAACCAGTATCAGCTCCTACTCCTGCCTAATACGGCATGTTTAGCAACAATTGTTATGGTTTTAAAAGGACGGGCTCGAACCCCACAAACTTCCACTCTCGTGCCGTGAATGCTTTCAAGAGAACACCGAGGTGATCTTTCAAATCGAAGGTCGATTGATCAAAAACAGAAGGACTGAAGAGTTCAAATCATTTGTCATTTATTTCCTAATGGGGAAGCATTTATACATCACTGCAGAGAAAATAGGAATTTCTTAGTCGTAAAAATATTCTTGATTCGTGTTTTTAAACATGATTTTCTTAATATAGGGTTACTTCCAATGCGATTGTTATTAGAGAAAATGTTCAAAGGTTAGATTGATGTTTAGTTGGTACATAACACAACAGGAAAATAGCTCTGTAAAAATCATCTAATACTGCTATACTAGTATATCCAATGACAAGTGTTTGGTTCAAGTATTTTTGGCTTTTTTATCTTTGTTAAAGGGTCACAGTGAACATTTTGTCAAAGTTTTATGAAAATTGAACAAGCATAAAATAATTTTAGTCAAGGTGTTTGGTACCACCATAAAACTTTTCAATTATTACGTAATCTTACAATCTTTTAATCTTGCTTTAATCGGGTGCCACATATGGAGTAGAATCTGCTTACCCTTCCAGAGCACCTGAAATTACCTCAAGTTTTCGTGGAGGTTCGTGTTCCTCAGTCTCAGTTTTCTATGTGCGCTATCGTTTGTTTGTTTGTATTTTTTTCTTTTTTGGCCAAGACGTTGTCAGTTTTTCTTTACTTATGAGTTTGAATGTCCTTCTGATATCGTTCGCCTCTATTTTAACTAAAGGACACGTTGATCGAGCTGACTGGTAAATATAGCCAGTGAATCAGGAAGAATCAGATATAAACTCACGCTGCTCTATGATGTTCATGTGATGGAGGGTTAACTCCAAATCCTACAACATAACTCCTTCCAGTATCGCCTAAGATATAACCTAATTGACCTTTAGCCCAGTTTCGATATTGTGTAGGGTTAATTCCAGCTTCAGCCGCAATAAGTGCCATAAAAGCATTATTTGCTACGAAGAAAATAAAAGTTATTTTAGTTTTTGAACATAAAAGCATGTGCCCTTTTAAAATAAAACCAAATAAAATGTACTATAATTCGGTAATACATTTTTTATAATAATATCACCAGGAATACACATATCTTTACATTAAAATGTTTGATTTAATACTTACGCACATTAAAATAAGAGAACATTGATATGAGAAGATGTGGCATGAGTGCCAATGAGACAACTCTCCATCAAATTCATAAATTGTAAAAGTAAACCATTATTGGTCAAAGTACGGTCTTCAACAATGAGCCTTGGCTCACACCGAACAGCAAGCTATACAGGGTCCCCAAAATGACTAGTGTAAAACCATTCAAACGGAAAAAACCAACGGTCTAAAACACATACATAAGAAATCAGTTACGTTCAACCCGCTTTTTTTTAAAGTTTACTTTCATCAGAAATGATCAATGTCAAAAGTATTTGAAAACAATGATTGTATAATTACGCTTTACATTAAGTTATCTGTGTGAAGATAATTTATTGCCTTAATTATCATATGAATAAACATTGCTTAGTCTTTAGTTTTCTGTGTTGTGTCTTGTGTACCATTATGTGTCTGTTTGTCTTTTTATTTTTTAGCCATGACGTTGTCAGGTTATTTTCTATCTATGAGGTTGACTGTACGTCTGATATATTTCGCCCCTCTTTTAAATATATTTTAGCGAAAATAAAATGTATAATTAAACATTACCAGCATGTCTGAGAGAACCCCATTTAGTTCGGAATGCCAGGCCTTTTGGTGTGTAGGGAACTGCATCTGGACCTGTCGCACCAGGTAACCAATTTGTAAAAGTAGTTTCAATGTCTTGCTTATAAACATCTTTCTTTGTTATCTGGTATAGCAAAACCTTACAAAGGAAAATCGAATAATGGTATATTAGCTTCTTCAAGACAATTGTTTCGGGTCAACAGACTGCGAAATCTCTTTTAACTGTTGAAAAAAATATTTTTAATTTCAAGAAATTTGAACCACAAAATTTCAGAAAAAAATATTAATTGGATATATTGTAGTTTAAACAACACAAATTTGAATCATTGAAAAGCTTATTGTATCACTAATTTTAGAATGCGTTAACAACGAAATTTTATTTTTTTCTCTGTTGTGTAGAGATGTGACCGCTGAAAAATAATTAATTAAGTTTAGACATATTGTCACTACTTGCAAGGGCGCCTTGACAATCGCACAATAACTGGATACATTTCATTGGATATATACTTGTTATACAGACACTAATTTTTATCATCGACAAGCTTGATTTATCAATACTTATAGGTTGCACTTTGTAAATACAGCTGTTTCTCAAACCACGCCTCTTTTGGGGAGATATATAATATTCATAGATATGTTAATTTGTTAATGTACTGGTTCCCATTTATGATCTCTGTGTTTCATCTCATAGAGACATCACTTGGGAATGTAACCAGTATAGAAAAACATGGTAGCGCCTAAATTTTAATTCTTAGGAGGTCCAAATATGAAGGTAAGGGTAGTATAGAATTTTAGTATAAGTTTAAACTCTTAGAAGTTCAGGGCATATAAATGTTGAAAATATGCCGCACAGCCCTATAAATTGACCTTTGAATAAAATAGTAGTGCATATAAACTTTCCGTTCTGGGATATTATTTTTCACGAAACTTCATAGTAAAAGTGTCACAGTTTTAGCTGCAAAGGGAGTTCCTATTGGAAATTGCATTGTCTATATTTACAGAATTGCAACCTGTAAGTATGTGATTAAAACGTGCAGCTAATTTTTTTTAAGATTTAACTTTCTTAAGTGTTCTGTACCTAATGAAACAAGTAGAAACAAAAACATATTTGTTTTCCATTACAATTTGATTCTGAGTCTAAACCTACCATTGATGCAGTAAATTTGCTTCCCCATGATTGTCCCCACTGATTTCCGTGTTGATGAAAAGATTCAGCATCGGTCAAGTACTGGGTGTTATTTGTTGATAAGTATAACATGGCTGCTGCAACTGCCATTTCATCTTTATATTCATCTGATCTGTAAACCACATTAAATTTTATTATCACTACTTTACCCCAATAATTTGGTTTTTTTTCTCGAATGCCGTCACGAATTGGTGCATATGTACTTACAGGGACGTGTTTTCGTTGTCTTAAATGTAATGACACCATCAATTAACATTCCAATTTTTCAGCTTCAGTGCAGACGCAGATCCAATGGCAAGTAGAACATCCTGTTTTTTATATTGTGTTTGATATAATATAGCATTCGTGATTGATCAATTTGACTCGAGTTGCATAAAACCAAACAATCTTCACAAATTAAATCAATTATAACATGCGTATACAAGAACGAACTATTTAGACACAAATGATAGCAGACTAGCACATGCATAACATGGATAGAATGTTATGACTGCATAAGACACATCGCTGACGCTAGGACCAAAAGAAAGCAAACAAGTAAGCAATCATAATAGAAATTTGAAGAAGGATATGTGGATGAAGTTATTGGACTTTGTGTGACAGTTTCAGGTTTCAAATAGGATTTGAGGTACATATTTTAAGAAAACCAGCTGCAAACATAAGTAGAGCTTAATAAGTAGAAAACACAAACTCATTTGAATAAAAACATATTAAGACATGTGTAATAATTTTCTACATCTCACAAATTTGAAAACACGTAAGAAGGGACTCAAATAAACCTACAAGACTTATGTCAATTTCATAAATATTCTTAAAATATCAATTTCATTTAAGTATCATACCCGTAGAAGGGGCCGGCTTCCTTAACACTTTGACTATATATTCCTGGATAAGTCTTTCCAAATGTATAGATCTGTTTTGAATGATTCAATAGCTTGGCAGAAAACGCTGGATCTAAAAACATGAACATATAACTCATGCATGTCCAATCTGTATGCCATATTACAATCTAATATATAAAAAGTGAAACCTTTTACTTTTGCACTTGCATTACGTGTTGCTTAGTCATTAGTTTTCTATCTTGTGTCTTTTGTACTGTTATTTGTCCGTTTGTCTTTTTTTTATTTTTTAGTCCTGGCGTTGTGAGTTTATTTTCGATCTATGAGTTTGACTGTCCCTCTGGTATCTTTTGCCCCTCCTTTAAACGGTTTAATTTGGTAGACAACAAGTATTTTGTTATGTTATGGTATTATAACTAAGGTAAATTGTACGGGCAATGATGACAATATTATACATTGGTCATAGTTCGTGTTGGTCAAAATGTGAGAATGTCAGATGAAAATTAACCATCAGCGATAAAGAGTATGCATCAATGAGACAGTAATATTCATTAACATAAACAAATCATGAAAATTAAATGTCTTTTTCTGTATTATGTGTACCTTTCTCAAGTTTCAGTATACTTTCATATGCCTATGTGTATTTATTTTCATGGCGACTTATCTTTACAGGTACATCAAATGTACTCTTGAATAAAAAAATGAATACTTTGGAGAGGGGTTAGATTTTTTCAAAATTGTATCATACGAAAAAAAACTGCATTTGTTTACTTTCGATTTTTCCTTTGTTAAACTGCTGTTTATATAAACTTCAAGTTCAAACTTCAATGTATTAAACATGTTGATAAAATTTACGACGGTAAGCATTGCATGTTGTTACAACTAACATTAATTATCTTATACACATTGATTTCGAATATCCAGTGTTAATTTTATGATCGTTCCCCATTGATCAAAGTTATCTTTGTTTTTTTTTGGTGAAATGGGAACACTTTTTATAGTATTTATATTTTGTAATACATTGTTTAGTATGTGTCTATCAATTTCAACAGTGTTAACATTTAGGATCTTAAGTATTACCAACCTTTATCTTTAAACACCATTGATGCAACAGCCATTGCGGCTGCGTATTCCCCAGCTATGTCACTTCCTGGTTTATCAGATGTAACTTTAAATGATGGTCTTGCCATCTTCATGTCCTCTGGTCTTCCCCAGAAATTGTGATCTAGATTGCCATCTCCTACCTTCATATAACATGATTTTTATTATTACAAGACCGTAAAAAAAGGTCAGCTCCCTCTGTCCGTTATTCAACACTATTTTCATTAACGAAAAGGGTGTGCTACCCGTCCTTGAACCTTTGAAATAATTGTGAATAACAAAAATAATATGTGACGGCAATAAATGTCAATAGCTTAAGTTTGTGCCTCTAGTCTAATTTTGACCTTAAATCAGAAATAAAATGCTTAAATAGCCGTGAAACATATTCACGGAGAGAACAACCACACATACATAGATAACTATTAACATTTCTACTTAAACGTTAAAATTTCTGATGTTATATCATTTTCTGTTTTCAATAAAGGCAACAGTAGTTTACCGCTGTTCGAAATTCATAAATCGATTGAGAAAAAAACAAATCCGGGTTACAAACTAAAACTGAGGGAAACACATCAAATATAAGAGGAGAACTACGACACAACAGGAACACAACACTAAAATGTAACACACACAGACAAGAACTATAATATAACAATGGCCATTTTCCTGACTTGGTACAGGACATTTTAAGAAAAAAATGGTGGGTTGAACCTGGTTTTGTGGCTAGCCAAACCTCCCGCTTTTATGGCAATGTTAAATATAACATTAAAATGACAACATTACATGGCAGGACTATATCAAATAAATGGGAGAACATATAGGACAGAGAAACACACGCATGATAGCTATCAAAAGGTACCAGGTTTATAATTTAGTACGCCAGACGCGCGTGTCGTCCACACAAGACTGACCAGTGGCGCTCAGATCAAAAAAGTTTGAAAGCCAAAACAAGTACAAAATTAAAGAGCAGTGAGGTCCAAAAATTTCAAAAATTTGTGCCTAATACGGTTAAGGTTTTCTGCCCGGGATAAGAACATCCTTATTATTTAGAATAATTCATACTTTTGCAAACAGTAAATTTATAAAAGTATAACACCGAAGTGGTGACTAACTACAGAATAGATACGAATACATATAAATCTGTCATTTTTTTCAGCCTAGTTATTGCAATGCAGAAATGTGACTTGCAATGTCACATTGACTTTGTAAACACGAAACATGTGTTGATATAAAAGATATATCTGATAAAGTTAAATGCAGGCAATAACGTTATCCCCTTATATATATCATACAAAACAACAAACTGTTTGAAAGATATAGCTTTGCTGATTACATAGGCGTGCTTTTTTCATGTATCGGCCGCGTTAATAAGGATCACCTTAAGAGGAACTAGAAATGATAAGTCAACGATGATAGCATGAATGCTTTGATAAATGTAGTTGAATAAGTAACGGCACGTATCACTTCCATGGCAGAAATTTCGCACAGCTTTCCGAATAACTTCTTTGCACTATGACACAAGTCCTTAGTTAACTTGTTGATGTGTTTTGTTTGGTAAGTTTAAGAATATCCAATCATGCATGTTATGTTTGATATGTTGTTGTATTGACTTCCGTTCTGTGTAGACTTTTAGTCGTACACCAAAAGGCTTAATTTATTGACCTTGAAACATTTGCATATTTCATACGTAAAAGTTTGTGATTGGGTCGTTTTAATGTTTACACCTTTATACTCTTGTATGCACGGTATACTAACATAATTTCGGAAAATACACTGTACTTTCACATATTTAGGCAAAGATATTTCTTTTTTTTTATTTATCTAGCATTAAATTGCATGAAAATTGGAACATGTTGATTTGAAAATGGTACTTGTTTAAACAGTATATTCAACATTGGTTGATTCGATTCCGTATACTTTATGTACATTTTCTTTTCTCCCCTTCATGAGAGAGGTGAGTGCATTATACCTAACTACAATCATTTGTCTTTTTACAAATAATTACTTTTTATTTCTTCTTTTATTTATAGATAAAATTAATCATTTGTTAAAATGTCTTCATTTATTTAAAGATAAATAATTAAAAAAAGCTGTACCTGAAAATAAAGTTCATTTTGTCCTGTATGACATTTGAGTAACCATTCTAGTGGCCAACGAATACAGTCATACATGTCATCCAATTGTCCACTGGCCTGGTAGGCGTCTTTGTATTGAAGGAGACTCCATGTTAGTAAAGTTACAGCACTGGCTTGGGGAAATCCAAATTTAACATGATCACCAGCTACAAATACAATAAAAATCTATCAAATCATTAATAACAATTCAACAAAAATAGTACATCTTTGATGAAAGGTGTGTCTGTTATCCTGTAGTGAAAGTATTAGATTGCATGTCTTATGTTTTTTTACGACCTTGACTGGCTATTAAGCCTTGCATGGTCGGGATTGCATGTGGCCACATGTTGAGCAGGATATGCGTACCCTTCCAGAGCACCTGAGTTCACCCTCGGTTTTTTATGGGGTTCGTGTTGTCAGTCTTTAGTTTTCTGTGTTGTGTTTTGTGTGTTATTGTTTGTCTTTTTTTCTTTTTTGGCCATTGCGTTGTCAGTTTATTTTCGACTTATGAGTTTGAAATTTCCATGGTATATTTCGCCTCTTTTTCATAAAAGGTTTTTTTAGATAATACCTTACATATTTAAATAATCACTGTTATCAAATAATATTAATGATTGATATATAAAATATACTGTATTGAGATAAGAACAACTCTCAACTGTTGAAAAGTACTGCAAATAGAGACGACAGATACTTAAAGGAGATTCAAACTCAAAGATAGAAAACAAAATGACAATGACATGAAAAAATCGAAAAACGTTTATCAGACAATTACTGTGGATTCATTTATTTTCGTGGGTACCAATTTTCGGGGATAAAGCATAACTTGCATTTTCGTCGATATTTGATTTAGTGGTGTTGCTAAAATCTGCATAAATTACTATAGAATATGTGAAATTCTTTTGAGCTTGGAATTAGTGGTTCCCGAAAATTGGCATCCAACGCATAATAATGAAACAGGTAGAAATCTACTGACTGAGAAACACGAACAAAGTGAAGAATTATTGGAAACTTTAGATGATAATTAATTTCATTGAAAACAAGAGATCTGTTTCCTAAAGGTTTTATTATTTTCTGAAGAATGTTATTTAATTTACAAGTTACTCAAGCCTTAGTAAAAAAATGTAAAACATAAACCCAAGGAAATATGGATATTTTGCACTTTATTGTAGCCTTGTCTGACAAAAAACGTAGGTTGTACCGTAAAAAACCGAGTTTATCTACCGACGCAAAATAGTTAAGACTATTTTGAAATATAAACAAAGACGTTCCATTTTCAGTATTTTTGGGCTAGAATATATCTCAATATCATAACTCGAAAATTTAAAATACATATAAACTCAATTGATACGAGAAATTTCAAAAATCATGGAACGTATATACAAAACATTGATGACTGCAAAAAGAAGTATGTATCATTACAATTGGTTATTTGTTATGAAAATACTAAACACAAAAATAAAAGAAATATGAATGGCATTTAAAAAAAAAACATCATTGCTTTTTGCTAAAATTAACTGTTTTAAAACAGACATTTGCAGTTGTTAATAGCATTGCCAGATAACTATTGGATTCACAAAAATGAACATGACTTCCGATACACTTTGCCATTGAATTGATTTTGATTTTTCGACGGTTTGACTAAACACTTAAACAAAGTAAACGAAAGCGCGTCTCGCGTACCAAATTACAAGTAATCTTAAAAACACACGTTATTGCTTTAAGTTAGAAATAAACCTTTTAAAACAGACATTTGTAGTTGTAAATAGCATTGCCAGATAACTATGAGGTTCACAAAAAATGAACATGGCTTCCGATATACCTAGCCATTGAATTGATTTTTCAACTGTTTGATTAAATTCTTAAACAAAGTAGACGACAGCGCGTCTCACGTACCGAATTACAAACTAACATGACTTACTCATGGGAGTAAATCAGACAAGAGTGAACCCATGTGCTAACACGATTTGTGTCTCTGTTATTTATTTTCATCAAATTGTTAAAAGTTTCTGAACGTACCATCATACCATCCACCTGTTAAATCCTCTCCATTTTGTCCCCTGTCGTTCAGTGCTGAGTCTTCTCTCCACGGTATTTGATTATTAGCAGGAAGTTTGCCAGACCGTTGAGCGCGAAAGAACATTATAGATTTCATTAGGACTTCGTCGTAATTATACTTTGTTCCGTCGTCTGCAAATATGATTTAAAAGTAAATAATGATAGAGATTTCTTTCTTTTTTTGTGCAGGATTACTGCCTGAAACGTTGAAAAAACGATCTATTATACAAAACCACGGACAGAAGAACCCCTGCATATTAAGGACAAGGTGAAATAAAAACTGCATCGAATAGTTACAGGAGTTCCTTAACATTCATATATCCCGGATGTATGATCTGCATCTGTAAAGTGGCATCCGTAATTTTTCGATTCGAATCACTAAATTGATTATGAGTAATTAATTGGTTGCTCGATTCTTAACATCCAATTGCATTTAGATCATGCATTGTTATGACTTTAACCTATTAGCAACTAGTAAGTGCGGTTTATAAATGAGATATATGCGAACATTTTGTTTATGAAACATATAAATATAAATATTTGAATTTGAATTGTTCAGAAATGTTTACTCTTATTGAAATACAATGTCTGATATGCAAGTGGGCAAAGAATTCGAAAATCTGACATATTATCCATTCAGCAAGAATTGCAAAGTGGGTGGGATGTAGGGTACACAATTTAAACGGCCACTCAAAACAATTAGGATCATAACGTCATCTAAAATGCCTGAACATAAAAGTGGTATGACTTGCTAATAGTTCAGATATGTTCCTCATAGTATATTATGTATATTGCAGACTTTTTGTTGTGTCAACGATTTAACATACCAAAGTCCATCTTCTTGAAAGACCGGTAAATCTATTGACATTTGAAGATAAGTTCAAATTAAATCGATTCGCTGTGTAACTGGTTCACACACATTCATTATGAGCGTCGAAATCAAGAGATTTTTTGGAATCACTTGAAACTTTATATATATAAACCACATTATGATAATATTCATTCTTGGAAAGTAACTTACTGTTCGGTGGTGTTGGAACATTATAATTGTCGTGCCCCATGTTTTGCAAAAACGCCTTCGCAGATGGAACACTTCTGTCCTTTGTTGTTCCCTCGATCATAACATCAAACTGGTGTTTAGTAGTCTGAATGCCAGTGTGATCTTTGTTAACAAGATAATGAACTGTCTCATTGCTCGAATCTTTAACATATTCCATGCCGACTGGCGACTAAAATGTAAAACACAGCTAGTTTGTTACGTCATTGTATAATTATAAAGCATACATGCACAGACAGACGTTACTGATGCTTACATCACGCTATTCGGAACGGACACCAGTAAGTGCGTTCTATAGGAAGCGGATGTTCGTAAACGGAGAAGAAAATAGTTTCCATCTTTGGGTTGATATCAATTTTTGTTTTGTTAAGTGGGTTTTTGTTTTGTCATGATCTTGTTTATTCACCTTCAAAGAATGTTTTTTTCGACGTTATACTTATCTGGGTTATATGTTCTTTAGGCTATTAAGTATATTGGTTAGCAAGTAACTCTTAGAACATGTAAAATAATGAGAGCATTTAGAACGTTTATTAGCTCTTACGCTAATAACCCATTGTTGAGCTGAAACGATCAGTTTGACATGAACAGCGTTTAAAAAACCGAACAATAAATTACTACGTCATCTTCAGTTTTTTATTCAATTTTCAGATTTATCCACTGCGGTAAATTCAGACATTTCGCTTTTAGTCAATTAAGATCTGTTCAGTGTGTATTCAGACTGTTCAATAGCTGATATTTACTTGTACACATGAACATCATACTGGATTGTATAAAATATTACTGAACAGTACTGAATTGACCGTGAGAGAACTGTATGAACATTACTGAATTTACCGCATTGGATAAGTTGAAAACTGACTGAAAATCTGAAAATAATTGAATAATTTATTATTCAGACTTTTCAGATCCTGTTAAGATCACAATGACCGTATCAGAATTAAACCCATTTACTGGTGAAAAGACAAAAAAATACTATGTGATGAGTGTTGTTGCGTTTGTTTGTACTGTATTCCTGTCACGTAATGTTGTCACTTTAGCGATATCTTTTGACATCGCATATAAGCGGGAGGTTTTGCTAGCAATAAAACCAGGATCTACCCACCATTTTTTTCTAAACATGTCATGTATCAAGTCAGGAATATGGCAGTTGTTATCAAATAGTCCGTTTCCATGTATGTTGGCGTTTTTTTTTTTTTGTTGCTGTTTAGTGTTTCTGTTGTTCTGTTGTTTTCCTTTTATAGTTGATATGTTTTCCTCGGTTTTAATTTGTAACCCGACTTTGTTTTCTCTTAATCAATATATGACTTTTTTACAGCGATATACCACTTTTGCCTTCCTTTATACAACAACTTAAGTTCAACAAGATATATGGATATAAAAATACCGTAAGTCCTGTGACTGCTTTGGAAAAGTCGATCTGAATTTTCCATCCGACTAAATCTTCAGTCAGGTTGAATATGAAGTGACCCTTGAATACTCCGTTACCTTTATCCGTTACTTGAACCATAGGAATTGCATCGAGTGCACCAACTATGACAGACAGAAGACAAAACCAGCGAATCATCATCTTATATTACTTTGTTACAATCTAAAATTAGAAAATTCATTAAACATACAGCAGGAGGAACATTTTCTATTTCAGTCAATAGATCTGAATTAATGATTGATTAGTGTAAGTTAATGTCTGTATACATTTTTTACTTCAGTATAGATACAATCAGTGATGACGATACATTGTATAAAATCAAACTCTCTGTCTAAGTATATTATATATTTTCGCTTCAGAAGTTACATCAACGAACATTTTTATTGATAGCCGTCATTAGAATGTAGTAACTTTAGTCTTGAGTATTTTGGCAGTATCAAATGACTAACAGTTATTTTATCTGTATATACCTTGTATATACAGATAAAATAATTGTTTTTTTTATTTGTATATACCTTGTATGGAAATTTAACTTAAGTGTTAGTCAGAAATCATCGATTTGATTTGTCATAATCGTTTTTGTAGTATCTTTATGCAGTCTAACTATGTTACAAATAAGGAGATTTGATGGGATTGTCAATAAGACAACTACACATATATTCCAGTCTTTTTGCATTAGTTGAAAGTTGCAATAATTGTTATAAAAATGAGGAGAAGTGGTATTGTTGCCATTGGTACGACTTTCCACCAAAGTTCGAATAAAATGAATGTATGCAAGTATAGGCCATTTTACGGCTACAACAATGTAACGAACCCATACCGTATAGTCGGCTACATAAGGCATCAGCATGCAAATGTGAACCATGGCAAACGAGAAAGTAAATGGCCTAATTTCTTACAAAAAAGTACGATAAACAGATATGACCAACATGATCCAACAACATGTGTCTTTCTTGGGACAAGCATATACAGAATGTGTGTGTGTGGGTTAATCATGTCTGTGAGCGCTCAAACAAAAGGCAAAACAAAAACTTATATTAAAACAATATACACAAAGCACCGAATTAGAAGTACTCGCAGATACTGAAAGCTAGTTCAAAGTAAATTACAACTTATAAATCAATTTTCAGGCAAAATAGCAATCAGAACGCATCCAACGGATTTAGTGTAAAGTCGTCACCAACATTCCGAAAAACGTCTGTTCCTTGCTTATAAGATATATATCACTGACTTAAAATATAGCGTGCATAACACATAGCTGATCCTTCTCAGTGTTGGATCACACTGATGATTTTATCCATTACCTTTGATTAATTCAATTCAATTCAATTCAATGTTTCATTTACGTCTCACCTTATGTATCAAACTACACAATACATTTATAAACGATACATTTTGTATACATGAGCCAATCTGTACAGATTTATGAGAGACGATAACAACTAAACCAACATGCCTGTACATTAATAAATATTAAACATGAATGGTAAAATCATACAAGATAATTATTCAAGTATTATTTAAAATATAAAATTAAATTTTAATTAACATAATTTATATATATATATAAATATTTGAAAATTAATTCTAATCTCATGCAAAGGTCATTTTCTTTGGAAAGAAAAAAAACATTTCCCTTTATAATTGAATAAGTTACACTAAGATGTTGGAAATACAAATGTTGTAAAGGTGATTGATTCTAAAATGATAATTGATAAAGACAAATCCGACAATGATGCTGATTAAACCTTAAATGACTAAACAAAAAGCCGGCAAGTCAGTATACCTATGCAAAGTCAGGGAGATAATTTTTAGTGACATATTATGTTCACTTACACAATTTAATTTTGAAAAAGAAATTAATAGTTTTTCCTTTTTTCCATTAAGTACTGTCAACCACTTCATACTTTAAGTCCCTAGAGTTGTTGAACAGTAAAATCTTCTACGCCTAAACTTTTAGCACAGATCTTACCTGTCATGGGATATTCCAGACACTGACTAAGATAACACATCATACGAATGCCTTATCAATTATCCATATTTTGAACGTAGGTCATGACCAATATTCCGTTCAATGTTAACCGTCTCAAGAATATAACCGAGGATACATGTCCTTAATCATAGATATTAATGGATCATTTCCGAAGACACAAAGGGGGCGGGGCATTAAAAATATATATGTCAAAGTAAAAAGAATGATTTACTTTACAAAAGTGGTTTACTGATGATTCTCAACCGCTCTTGTGCTCTTGAAGTAAATGGGGTTTTCCGTTTTATTGGGTGTATATATATGCAGCTATGTCCCATTGATATCCAATGCTACTTACATTTGTTTCATCTGAATAATTGAAGTAATTCAGTAATTCGAAAGTAATCATGATAGAACATTACGATGGGTTAAGAACATATGTAGATGCATTTGTTTAGGTCAATACACATTTAATATGAAGTGATGTGTTTTTGTTTTATAATAAAGATTGTTGTGAATAGTGCATGATGTGAATGGTTATGTTTAACATGTCTGCAAAACAACTCACCATAGAATATCATCATTAAATGCACATTCTGGACAAAAAAAATGTGATGCGATCTGGATATGTATCCTGCTTTATTCTAGACCGACACAGTGATCCGGGTTTGTAACGTGCTAGTTTATAAAGTAACAGTCCACAGAAAGGCATGTACCGGACGCATTATTATGACTCCTGAACGACGAGTCTTTGCTCTCACTCCTAAACTGTTGCGTGCTTAGCGGAGAAACAGCACATATTAATTCTAAAGTCCTTGATATGACCCAGCAGGGGTAGAACCTACGACCTCCCGTACTCGAGGCGAGCACGCGATTACCGAGGCAGTTACTGGTAGTTATGAAGTATTGACGAAAAACAAACTTACAGCGTTAATACATCATACAATAATCATGATAAGAATACATGACCATTAGGGTAGATTACATCAAGAAAAAAAACACAGAATACCTGAATTTGGATAAAGAAAACATTAAAATAAATATTTGCGATCGTCAAATTCCAAGCAGAACATTCAATTATGAGTATACAAAATTATAATTAATTCAACACAAAACAGATTAAGTGGGGGACGTACCATTGTCAAACAAATAATTTGGCAAACGGACCATGAAACGGCTTTATTGTCTCGTCTCTTAATAATGGGTCAAAACCATTAATTACTGTTCATTGTAATATTTTGACTAATTGTGGATTCGCTGAGCGGATAAAACATGGATAGCAGGCAACATGATCAGTAGCACTATACGGCCAAATCTGAGTATAAGATCAAAAAGTATGAACAGAATAATAATTGATCTGTGTATTAGTAAATATTCCGATTTTGTGAAAGATCCAGTAAGACCAAGTTGTTTTTATAAGATCTTAATTTCTCTTAACATTTCTTTGCATTTAAGAATTAAAGCCATCACTGGAAATTAACCAATCAAATTTTCACTCTTTTTTTCCTGTGTACAAGCTTTAGTAACCATGTAACTTCAAGTTTCCAAAATATTCTATAGAAACACCAAACAAAAAACGAATGGTGCTATAACCAAAAAAGAATTTTGC